AAGGCAAGCCGAGAGGAGCGTTTGTGTCTCGCGGGCTGGGCAGGGCTGACCTGGAAGTCCTGCCCGCCCAGCGCCACACGACCAAGTGAAACGGCCCGGTGTCGCGGGATCACTGTGCGTGTCGGTACCCAGCGGTGGTGCCCTGGACGCACGAGTTCCCGCCAGTTGGCACAGGTCGGCAGGCTGGGTGTGGGCCAGGGTCGGAGCAGCGTAGGACACAGAGCTTAGAGCAAGGTTTAAAGACATGAAGCCGAGCCCCTCGCACGCTGACCTTCGGCTGCCAGCAGTCCTTGCTGCTGGTGGTTCCTTCTGCCCCTCCCCCTCTCCCGCCAGGGCGTGGGCCCCACGCCGGCCGCTCCAGCATCTCCTGCCCGTTTGTGCCTCCGGGCCTCATGCCAGCCCCGGCGACAGCCGTCCTCCTCCTCCGGGGCGCACACCTCCCCTTCCCCAGGCCGCGCCTGACGGCCCACCCCATCCAGGTCCCCTAGAAATCGGCCAGAATCGCGTGTCCCACTCCAGACCGGCCCTATTCACACGGCGCGTTTGAAACAGAATAGCAAAGTCGCCTTTTCCCACGCGAGGGGCGCCACATCCTTCTGGGCCTAGGAAAACAGAGCCAGGCTTTATTCTACTCCTCCGAACTGTTAAAAATCCAGTTGAACAAAATGGAATTGTGGTCACCCCCGGGCTCCCTGCCCTATGAATGTTGGTGGCCCTGCCTGCCCAGTCGCTGTGACCTCAACGGCGCCCCTGTGTGAGTCGAGCCCATCTCACACGTGGCCTGCCTGCCCAAGGTGCTTCCTCTCAAGCCCGGTCACATCCGAGGGACGTTGGGCATCTTTCCACCAGACTGCTCTTCCTCGGGGTCCCTTCCCTGTGCACTGTGTCTACACACACTGGGTGGCAATCTCACTTCCCCTTCTTACAACCAGGGCTGGAATTCTCTCATGGTGCCCTGTGTCCCCTCCATCCCCAGACCTCCAGCTGGGGTTCCCACTCACTCTAAAGGTACACACCTGTCTATGGGAAAAATTGTCGAGAAATAACTTCCAGGGGCGCCCGGGTGGCTCAGTCAGTTAAGCATCCGACTTTGGCTCAGGTCATGCTCTCTGCTGTCAGCACAGAACCCCCTTCAGATCCTCTGTCCCCCCGTCTCTGCCCTTCCCCTGCTTGTGCTCACTCTCAAAAATAAATAAACTTTTTTTTCTTTTAAAGAAAGAGCTTCCAGGGGCGCGTGGGTGGCGCAGTCAGTTGAGGTCCGACTTTGGCTCAGGTCATGATCTCGTGGTTCGTGAGTTCGAGTCCTGCGTCAGGCTCTGTGCTGACAGCTCAGAGCCTGGAGCCTCTTTGGATTCTGTCTCTCTCTCTCTCTCTCTCTCCCCCTCCCCTGCTCATGCTCTGCCTCTCTGTCTCTCCAAAACAAATAAATGTTAAAAAAAAATTAAAAAAAAAAAAAAAAGAAAGAGCTTCCGGTTTTGGGACTGTTCTCTTTCACCTTCCTATTTATAGACGGCTTTGAGACTCAAGACCAAAACCATACATCATTTATCTAAGCAACTTGATGTCTGTTTCTAGAATATGCATGCACTTCAATGAGCTGACATCTAGTGGGTTTTGTTCTATCCCTTTTCAGTGGAAGGGATACCGTGAGAGTGTACCCTGGGTGTGTTTTGGCCGTTTCTCCTTCACCAGATCAGTCTTGGCATCCACGCGACCTGTCTCAAAACTAGGACGCTGCTAACCCCACAGGTCAGGTAGGGCCTAGCCCTCCCCCAACCACCTTCCAGGGCGGCTCAGAGCAGGGAGTGAGCCCGGCTTCCAGCTTTTGGGGGTCTGTGTGGTAAACAGTGCAGAACTGTGCAAAGCAAGCCCACCAGCCCAGATCCAGAGTTTGGGGCTCCCGGACACGTGCCGGTGGCTGATCCAGAATTCGGGGCTCCCGGACACAAGTCGGTGGCTGGTCCAGAGCAGCGGGTGGCAAACATGGGGTGAGAAGAGAGGGAAGGTGTCAGAATGACCTGGGTGCAAGCCCACGGCTTCTCTAAAGGCCTGATTTACGAGGGGGGGGGGGCAGTTTAGATTTCTTTCTCTGTCAGCACGACTGTAGGGAAAGTCTGTTTGGACCCAGAGCCTGATTTACAGCCCACCGCCCCTGCACCGGGCGCCTGCTCTGGGAATGACTACGCTAGAGGAAGACCATCTCGTCCTTGACGTACTGATCAACTTTCCTGCTCCCCACGTTCCTTTACGACAAAACCCACGACTCCTGCCTACACGCTGCTCTACGATCTCCCGAGCTTTCGCAGGATGTCAAAAAGGATACAAATGTGGGGGCACCTGGGGGGCTCCATCGGTTAAGCCTCCAACCCTTGATTTCGGCCCAGGTCGTGATCTCACAGTTTGTAAGATCGAGCCCCACATCAGGCTCTGTGCTGACAGTGCACAGCCTGCTTGGGATTCTCTCTCTCTCTCTCTCTCTCTCTCTCTCTCTCTCTGCCCTACCCTCCCTCAGGTGCTCTCACTCTCTCAGGATAAATAAACATTTAAAAAAAGTATATAACTCTGGTAAAAACTGTTCATTCTCCGGAGCACTTCCTTTCCTGTGAAGACCGTGTTTCCCGGACAGCTGTCCTAACCTGGGCTCAAAGAAAACTCTCTTTCTTTCTTTTAGAGATTCTAACATTTTGTTCACTTTTGTTTTTTTAAAATTTTTTTTTCAACGTTTTTTATTTATTTTTGGGACAGAGAGAGACAGAGCATGAACGGGGGAGGGGCAGAGAGAGAGGGAGACACAGAATCGGAAACAGGCTCCAGGCTCCGAGCCACCAGCCCAGAGCCCGACGCGGGGCTCGAACTCATGGACCGCGAGATCGTGACCTGGCTGAAGTCGGACGCTCAACCGACTGCGCCACCCAGGCGCCCCTTGTTCACTTTTGTTGACACCAAGTATCCCCGTGAGCCTGGAATGTCCCGGCCTTAATCCTGAAAGTCCTCCCTCCCAGGAAATCATGCAGTCCAGGCAAACCTGGACGGTTGGCCACCTCTGACATGGGTGTTTTTTCCACACCATCAAGCGAGTGACTCAGTTCTCTGAGGACACTGACTGCATGTCCCACAAATCAAACTTGATTCTGATACCAGATACCTGGACGTGGCATCAGATGCCACAGGTGAGGGGCTCAGTCCCACGGAACTGCTTCCCGGCCTTCAGATGCAATTCCAGGTTGTCACCTGTGCTTCAGGTAATCGGCTACAGATCAGAGATCCATCTAATTTGCTAGGGTGGTTCACAGAAGTCAGAACAGCTCCCGCTCTGGATTACCGGCTTATTGCAAAGGATGTGAACGAACAGCCAGATGGAGAGACGTGTACCAGGAACGGGGGAGGGGTGTGGGGCTTCTGCATCCTGGGGGCCACTCTCCCCACACCTCCACACGGTCCCGGACCCAGAAGTTCCCCAAACCCCAGTCCTTTGGGGTTTTTATGGAGGCTTCATTACACAGGCACGATTAACTTGTTGGCCACTAGTGACTATCCAACCTCCAGCCCCTCCCCGCTCCTCTCTCCTCCATCAGTGGGGTGGGATTGAAAATTCCAGCCTCTGCTCACAAGGTTGGTCCCCAGGCTTTGGTGCTTTCCAAAAGTCCCCTCTTTAACAGAAACTCAGATGCACTTGAAAGGATTGTTATAAGTAACAAAAGATACCTTCATCACTCTTGCTATCCAGGAAATTCCAAGGGTTTTAGGAGCTCTGTGCCAGGAACATTAAGACCAAATGTCAATTTTTGATCCTATCCTATATATCCCCACGACCCTAGCACCCCCTACCCTGCCACAGACCTGCACCCGTGGTGGGCACCTGGCTTTGGGTTCCTGACTTCTATTGTAAATGCTAACTGTGTGAGGGCCTCTTGCTGTATATGACCTGGGACCCTTTACTTGGGCAGGTGGGGGAACTAGAAAGGTTCATGCTGGCAGCACTGGCAGCTCAGGGGGCTCAGCCTGGCCTGCACCTGCGGAGTGTCAAACGTCAGTGTCCCTCTCAGGCTCGGGCTTCATTGCTGGCGGGGGAGACCGCCTGCAGCACGGCCTGTAAGTGCGCCCCAGCCGTGTCAGTGTGCAGCGGGCCAGGTGGAGACTCGGTGACCCGGAGCCCCGCTTCTCAAAGGCTGTTTCCTCACCGCAGGCCCAACTTCACCTGCGCATTTGTTAGAGACGCAGACCCTCGGCCTGGCCGTAGACCTGCTGAGTCAGGGGCTCTGCGGTGAGCTTAACAGTCTGGCTTTGTCATGTTCTGCATGTGCTTCTGATGCATGATTGAGAAGCACTGGGCGAAACCGGAGGACGAGTCTAATCATGGACAGAACGGTGGGGTATGTGGGCGAGGAATACAGGTGTGTGCAGCGGGGAGGCCCCCTCGGGAGGGGTCGGCCCTGCTTGGGCGCCTTCTCTGGCAGGGCCGGCTGAAGCCAGGCCTGAGCTGATACCCCGAGGCAGTTTCTGGAAACACGGACTGTAGAACTGGTTGCCCTCAGGCCCTGTCCTGGTTGTGACATATTCCCGATAGTTTTCCAACGATCCTCTTGAGAACTTCGCACCTTGTGCCCTTGGGATGGAGAGGAGCTGGAGGGAACTCGGTTGAAGCCCCGCCTCCAAGTCTAGCCCTGCCTCTGGCTGGCGGCGTGGCCTTGAAAAAGCTGTTTCCTGTCTTGTCAAATTATGGGTGGAGGGTCACTAGAGCCCCCTCTGCCCGCTTCTGAGGACTCTGAGAGGCTGACACAGAAAAACACTTTAAGAATCGAGACCGCTCACAGGGGATGGCTGACC